ATTTAAAAATTGTCAAAGTTGAAATTTATAATAAAAACATAGTAAGTGGACTCAAACTTTTGGAAGCAACTGTATAAAGATTTTCTAATAATAAAAAAAATTATATTTTTTTTATTATCTTAATTCTTTTATAGTTTTCACTTTTATAGTTTTATAAAAAATTTTATCTATTTAATTTAATTCTAAATTTTAGATAACTCAAATTTTTATCAAAAATAATTTTTTAATAAGAAATATATTAGTTTATGAAATATAAATAAATCTTTATTAATTATACTTATATGTTCTGATAATATCAGTAATAATTAAAAAAAAATTCAGAGAATTGTTTTCTTCAAAAGTTTCAAGTTCTCAAAGATGATATCCAAGATATCAAAAAGCAAGAGATATATAATATAAATTATAATTCTATTCTTTTTAAGTTTCTTAGATAATAGAAAAAATTTTCTGAATAGAAGTTGTAATTTTTAAGTTTTTCTTAAGCTATTTCAATCTGATTGTAATATTTACTTAAATTATAAATCTAGTTAAATTAATATATTAAATGCTATAGATAGTGACAAAAAAAATTTTTTTTTAAAGTTCAAGTAGAAGCAAGAAGAATATTTTAATTAGACAAATTTCTTTTGAGAAAAAATTATTTAGTTAATAAATTTTTTTGAAAGAACTTTAATTGCATCTCTTTTTCCTTTTTTTTTTCTTTTATTAACTTAGCAATTTATGATTTTTGAATAATCTATAATAATAAATGCTAAAAATAAATCTAATAGATAAAAATTTATATCAATTTTCTAGAAAAATAAAATATTGTTTTTTAAACCTGACTTAAAATACTTTTGTACAATGATGAGTTAGTTATTATATGAAAAAACTATAATATTGTAAATAGTTATATAAATTTCTCAATAAAGATTAAGCCATATGACATGGTTGCAGATTAAAAAAATTACTTCTAAAAAAATGCTAAAAAATAAAAATAAATACTAAATATTGTTTATACAAACTTAATTAACAGATAGTTTTTTTTTTGAATAAAATTTGTTTAAAATCAAAAGGATATTTATTAAATGTATCAAAATATTTTTGCTGGTAAGTTATCACGATTATGAGTTACACAAAATTAAAAATAATCGCAGATACTGTATGTCCCATGCCTGATATACAGTAAACTACGTTTTCTATAAATTTATTTTAAATAAATTTGGCATTAAGAATTAAAAAAAAAAAGAATGCAGCAATTTGATAATAAAAATACGTAATAAGCTTTACATTCTAACCCTGAAAATTTTAATCATATGATTTAAATCTCACAAAAAGTATCACAAGATTTCAAGAAATTATGTAATCGTATGATCGCTCTCAGCACCATCATCAATGTCTACCTGGGCATTATCACTTAAATGGTTGTCCTCATTTATGTTTCCTGGCTTTGTTTCATTATCCTCTTGATCGCTTTCCACTCTCTGTTTAGACTTACCTTTATGTTTTTTCCTCATAAGTTGTTCTATTTCGTGCTCGTGAAGTCTATCGGATCTATATCTATCCCAGAATGATTCATCATAATCGGGAGCTGTATAAGATGATTCTAAATATGTTGTTTTTCCATAACTTTCAGGGACCCTGATTCTCTCCTATAAAATATTTTAATTGTTTTAAACGTGAACAACTCATGTTTATATTTCCTGTATGGTACATACGGTTTGCCGTCGTCTTCTCAACGTAGTTCTGACTGAAAAAGGTGAATATAAGATGCGCTTTTCTTTCGTTATATTATCATATACTTCATAAAATAAAAGTTGAGAGTTTTTCGGAAGAACTTGATTCTCAATATTATAATCCCTAACCCATTTGTATTGGAAGGACTTAAGGCAATATTTTATTATATGTTAAAAAAGTATGAACAAGAAAATACAGAAAAATAACGATTGCTTACTTCATCCTTACACTCTTCAAAAGTTCTCTTGTTTTTTAGCCTCTCTGCGGATTCTGCTGATGGAACGTAAAGCATCAAAAACCTATCATTTCCACTAGCCATTGGATTCACTAAAGCTTTCGTAGCGCGATCTTGGCGCATCTTTCCTTGGTCCTATTTGCGAAGCGAATTAAGAATTAATATTTAAATTAAAAAAAATAAAACCATTGATTCGAACTCGAAAATCTCAAACATCATCGTCTTCCATGGGAACACCCTCCCAAGGATCGCTATCAAAACAGCAATGCGCAAGAATACGATTCCTCATTTCAAAATCTGGCAAAATAGGAAGAATCTCGACAGGCGTAATTTTCTGATCCTTATAATGTTCAAGTTTCTTAAGACGTTTGGGATCATTCGCAGCTTCAAAAGAGTATTCGATCGCTGCAATCTGTTCTTCGTGTGTTCGATTTAAGAGATCATTACTGGCTTTTAGGGTAGCCATACTGTTATAGATTATTTTGTAAAAATTGTTAATATAAAATTAGGTATCTGAATGTTTTTTGTTTTTATTTACCATAAAATCTATTAGTTACCGGCTCTCCATAGTTGTTGCGGTATTATCACTTTTATAAACACTTTCTGATGCACTGATATACTGAGTTCTACGAAGCCACGTTTTTGGATCATTTGAATGCCTCTTCAATTGTGCCAGTCCTGGGATGACGTTTATGGCAGGCTTTGCTGGAACTAAAAGAGCCACATCTTTACTATCAAGTCCACTAAATTTTCTGGGATTTAGAACTATCAAGTGCGCCCCAAATTAATACTTTAATTTATCAAAAAAAAAAAAACGAATAAAATAAACTCACCTGAATCGTCACCATAAAATGCATTAGAAACGACACTCAAATCGTAAGGCATCCCTAAGTCACCGTCACTAAGCAAAGGAAGACGAGTGGTCTGAAAAGTACGCGTTGTTCGTTTTACAGTCATAACTCGTTCTGTATCCGTCTTCCAAACTAAATCAAACGGAGGATCGGTGGGTGGAGGAATAAGATGCCGATATCTCATTCCACATAAATAGTTATAGTCCGATCTACCTTTCCTATTTTGAGAATTATGGCTTTGGGAGAGAATCTCTAGAGATTAGCTTCATTCGAAATAATAAATTAATTAATTAGGAAACTTACTTCGGTCTGGTCGACATTTTGTAATGAGGGTTCGACGATCATCAAAATAATAAAGATTTGTTTTATTATTTTTTACTTGATAATATAATAATATTGTTGAACTAATTTCTAACTAGAGTTATATACCAATCTATTATACTATATATATAAATTATATTATTAAAAGTTAAATTCTTAAAGATTAATAGTCAATTGTCTTCTTTGTCACTATAAACATGTTTTATTAAATTTTTTATTTAATAAATATTAAATTAAAATATTTTAAGTAAAATAATCAAAAACTCTTTTTGCTGATACTTGAATCATATACAAAAAAGATGTTTACAAGAAGTTTTGATACTTCTATGCTAATAGAGTCATACTACTTTCTTTAAATCAACTCAAAGAGTTTTTTCAAAACTTCCTCACCTCCTTTCTATCTTATTTACAATTTTCTTTAAATCAACTAAACTCTTGTAACCTGCAAAGTTCGGTTTTTACATTTACTATCAATAACAAGAAAGTTTCTAAAGGAAAAAGAACCAAAAGTGAAGTATTTATTACTTTTCAACTATAGTAAAGAAACAATAAAGGTTCTGTTCTAATCAAAAAACTCATTTTTTTACCTTTTGATTGGTATTGTATTCTTTAAGGATTACCTTTTTTATAGCTTTCTAAAGAATTTTATCTATTTTAGCTTGATCCTAAAATTTTGAATAGCACAGATTTCATCGATTTTGATTGGCTGATATGAAACTTGTTAAATAAGATTAATAAATAAGCTCCTATTGGCCATCTCACATATCTGAATACATTTTTTCAATCCTATAAGAACCTGAGGTCTACCATAAATCATATATATTGGTATAGGTAAATACAAAACATATACAGATACATTATTGGATATAAGAAAAAGTCTGTTCAATCTCAACAAAGGTTACAAAATACTCGATTGATTTTTTTTCAAGTTAGAACCACTTATATCCTGATTATATATCAGGTAGGTTTTAACTTTTACTATTTAAAAAAGTCTAAATCAGAAAAAGTATAAAGCTATTAGAGATACTTAATAGTAAAGCTTGTGTGCAAAGCAGTCCAAAAAGTTTTTATTCTATCTTTAAAAAATCCCAAGTTGAAAAATTAGAAGATTAAATTATTTCATTAATCAAAATTTAAGTCTGAAAATATCAGCAGTGACATGTGAGCTGACTGGATAATCTGAAAGATCCTTATTAATCACTAATATTAATGACCACTAGCAGAGTATATCTATCATAAGGCTAAGTGCTATTCTTTTTATAAGAAATTAAATCTGCAATAAGATGCATAGATAGATAAGTATACTTATATTTAGATAGAAATAGATTTATTTATGATGTACTGAAAGTAATAATAGGTCTCTAAAGTATTTAACATATAAAATTTCACAGATCACTTATATTCTTTTTTGAGGAACAAAATTCATAGCTCTTTACAAATATCAGGAAATATTATAAATCAATGATTTGGATAATGGAGAACAATTGTATATAATTTTTTTATAATTATTAATTTAAAAATTTTAATGTTTCCTAGTAAGAAACATTTGACTTTTATCCTCGTTTCCCCCTTTAGAGACCCATCTTTAACTAGAAGACTTTCAAGTCATCCATGTAAACATCAATATATTATCTGGACTTTTCTAATTATTTCTTCCCATAAGTCTTAAAACTGTAAAATATTCTTTGTTTGATTTTTATCTTATCTTTGTAAAGACTTAATATAAAATTTTTTTCTTAGAACTTTCTATAAAAAAATTTGAAACATGATAGGCATATGTCAAGAAACAAAATCGATACTCTTTCAAAATTGCACATGATAGTTTAATTTTTATTTTATTTTTCTTTATTTTTATTTTATAACATCAGTATACTCAAGGGATGTTGATTTTTTTTTGGTAAAAGAAAGGACAGTAAGTCTCAAAATAGTTTTAGGAATAGCTTTAGTTTATTATTATTTTATCATTTTTAAATATAATCTACCACTAGTTAAAAAATATTTATTTAGTATAAAGTTACTTGTATAATATTCATCAAAAAAATAAATAATTTGATATATTAATAATATAAATAAATTGTCAATCAATTTCTACTATATAATTGGCTATAAATAAACTATCAATTAATTTTTACTATATAATTTGATATAAATAAATCATTAATTAATTTCTAATATATAATTTGACATTATTTACCATATAATTTACACTATTTTTACTATATATTTTATTAAAAATTTTCTCAAAAAATTATTAGACATTTATCAAAATTTCAATTTTGTTAAAATTTATTTTTTTATTTTTTTTTTAATCGCAAATGAGCAATACATGCAAGTTTTTATTAGAAAATTAATTCATAAACAGTTACATGAATAGTCTTTACAAGGTTGTAATGCCTAAATAAATTAACTAATGCCTATTGCGATTGTCCTATTGTAACATATTTGCAGTCTGTGAATGGATATGCCAGAATAGGATCGAATAGCAATTACTCATTTGAAAATGATGCTATTACTGCTGGAGATAAGATAGAATAGCTAGTAGAGTTTAAAAGTCTATTTGAAACTATTAAAATAGTATTAAGAAGTTTATGGGATTGGTTTGGTGATTGATTATCAGGTGGTGGTTTGGTTGCTTTTGTGGGTTTCCATTTAATGCCGATGAGTGATGCTATAGTGGCAATAGCAGATTTTTCTTTCCATATTCTGTGTAAAATTTTTAAAGCCTTATTCATGATTTTAATCTTTGCTTTGTTACTTTGAATTTGTTTAAGAATCTGATTGGATATTCCTAAAGAAATATTTAAAAGTGTTTTGTTATCTGCTGATATGATGGTTGTGTGATAGATGTTTGTTTGTATAGAGTGATTTTTTTGGGGGGCTTTGTTTTTGTAAGATTTTTTTAAGAAGATTGTTAAATTTTATTAAAATTTATATATTTACTAAATTTTTAATTATATATTATATTAATGATTTAAAGAAATTATAACTAAATATTTATGAGAGTCTTGTTAATTTGAGGTTCCATATTTAAATAAATCAGTCAAAAATATTATAAATATAAATTATACATTCACATCTAACTAAATAAAATTCATTAATCTATAATTCAACATTTATATTATTTTCAGATTTGAAATAAAATCTATTTTCTGTCAAATTAACTAATTTATATTATTTAATAAAGTTCAATCAATATTTAATAACATTATTTAGAAAGTTTATTGAATATGTAAAGAAGAATTGAACTTGTTCTGGATATAAATTGATACTTTCATCATGATTTACAAATCAAGCTAATATAAATAAGTCCTTAATATTTCATGAGAATATAACAGAATTGAATATTTCACTTCCAATTCAGTATCTATCATATTGATCTGCTCTATTCCAAATAATTATCAAATTTTCATTATCTTTTGTAAATGGCCTTTGAAAGTCTATAGTTTTATAAGATACTTCATAATATTTGATTAATAGATCTAATATTTCAGTAAATATCTCTAAATTTGGTTTTTTTTAGATACAAGAGTTTACCTAAAAAATATTTGGGTCCATTGATGATTTTTAGTAAATATTATATATGTTGTTTAAAAATCAATATAACTTATTAGTTAAAAACTAATCTAGTTCAGAAATTGAGTTAATATTTAATCAATTATTTAAAATTTCAAGTTCCTGATTATCAAGATAGAACATAGTTAAATTAATAATCCAATAATTAATCATTCATCAATCTTTGCATTAATTCAAATTCAATATTTTAGTGACTATTAGACAGTGAATCTAGATTAAAAATTTGTTAGAATTATATTTCTGAATATTAAATTTATTTAAAAATCTACCTAATATATTATTTATTCTCTTAAATAAAAAGTATCAAAATGCATATACAGTTGCTTTCAAAAGTTTGAGTCCACTTACTATGTTTTTATTATAAATTTCAACTTTGAAAATTTTTAAATTCTTAACTATATAGTTAAAAATTATAAAATTTATATATATTATGCCTTAATACTTATTCCATTTCTTATATTTTTTTCAAAAATTTTTGCTATATAATTTTTAAAGTTTTATTATTATTAAAAAATTTCAAATTTTTATTTTTGGAGGATTTTGATGGGCTGTTATTGTAAATCATATAATAATTCATAAAAA